AATCTGTCGGGCCAAGTCCCTCATATTCGAATGGCACATACTGTAACCTCTTCCATCTCTTTGAAGTGATTCTCTTATTTTGGACCCGTTTCCATGTTTTTTCCATATATTTAAACAAAATGTTCTTACCCACCTACTGCCACCCGTGAGTTAGATCCTCGTGTCCAATTCATTGTAGCCCTGTAATGGTACAGTCAATGCAAGGATCAACATAGAGGCACTGAAAGTAAGCAGCATACCTGTCACAAACAGTCATATTTTTAACAAGCCAAACAGAAGCCTATTGGTCATGCTACTCTGGGCACAGAAAGTAACTGCCAATCTTCTCTTTTGTTTCTTTCTCACTCTTCCTTGTGACACAGTTAAAAGTCATCCCTGTATTACCACATTTTAATGAGCTCTCCAGTGCTGTCCCACATGCATAAAGTCACTCTGTCAGGCTAATAGCATGCTTTGATACCATCTCTCCTGCTCTCTCTACTAACATCTCCATTTACTTCTTGCTCCAAGGCTTCCTTTCCCTATTTCTTATGAACCCCATAATAATAATACTCATGGGGCCGCAAGTCTATTAATTTTATCATGTTTTATTTTTTCCAAACCCTATCATGATCCCCCCAAATAATACTAAGATACTTCTCAGTCTATAGTACATAATAGTTGTGTATTATTTTTTCCATGTAAATTTCACTTTCCCATCCCTTAGACACAGTACTGAGATGCTGAATGAGCTTGGCTGTACATGCTGCATCTGAACTTTTGATTTTAAAAACGGGAATCATTAGATTTATCTATATTTGTACATGAGCATTTTTACATATTGTACAGAATGAGGCCAAACCTTTGGTGTTGTGTGTGTGATGCAGGAAGTGATGGAGCTGAAGTGCATAGATAATGATGATGTCAGACAGCAACAGGAAGGGAGGGGTTGATGGAAGGAAGGAGCAGCAAGTGAGCAAATTGCAACTGGAAGAAGGCTCCTCTGCAGCGGCCTGTGAGGTAGTTCGCATTAAGCAAAATGAGGGAGCGAGGAGGAGAGAAGGGATGGGGGAAGACAAAGAAAAAGAAGCTGCAAAAAGCACACAGGTCTAACTGACCATTCAGCATTTTTGTGAACAGTGGCTGTTGCTTATTACTCTTTCCGCTACTGCAAGCTTTCTCGTCTGTCGCCTGTCATCGCGGTCCATAGTTTGCCTGTTTCCACAAATTCCACTGATGCTTTTATTACCATGCCCACTACTTCTTATATTCCTATAGCATGAAAGATTTATGGAAGCTGAAGGATTAGGAACCCGCAACGCTACAGGGAATCTCACCTTTAGCATAAGCGTTGCTTTGAATATGCTGAACGTCACACTAAATGAGACAAACACCAACTACAACAAACCTCGCATTTTGGTTTCTCTTGGACATTGAAAGTTGATGGGATGAATGATTAATCTGGTCCCACATTTATGTTTTCTAGCCCACTTGGGGTATAATGTCTCAGGCTACATTCACAGTATGGTATGGCAACGTTTCTGAAAACATCTTTAACACTGCAGCTAATTAGATGCTGCACAGGGCTCACACAGTCGGGGGACTCAACATTGAATCCACTTGGTGAATGCAGAATGTCTTAAGAGTGGTTTGGATGATAGGCACTTTCCTAGATGTGCCAATATGCGAATTTCTAAAGTACAAACAACAGCTAGGATATATTGGACTCTCTAGAAGTTCATGTCCACCATCAAATGTTATGACATTTTTTCTCTTCTCTTGATTTTATTTAAAAGCTGGATGCATGTGAAGTTAATGACTGGCAGTTCTTGTAGGTTCAGTGTGGTGTTGCATTCTTAGGATAAATCTGCACAGGATACATTGTCATCTTAGTAGGTTTTTTGAAAATAAATGATCATTAAATGTCCATGCATGAATAATAAGCATTTCTACTTGCGGTTCATTTCAGATAGAGAGGGGTAGTAAATGGCATGTATGAGAGAAGTTTAACAGTAATTCAGTGCAGAAAGAAGGTTTGTTTTCTGGCATTTAACTCTGAACTGGGAAGAAGATGCATAAATAAGGTTAAAAGAGAAATTCCCATTCTTTGGATTCCTCAAAATAGCCACCATGAGATTACCTAACACATCTTCCCAGATCTTCTTCAGCTATTCCCAGAAATGCTGGGTGTTTGTGGGTTGAGTTTCTTGGCTTCTTGATTATTTTAATAGAAAGTCTCTCTGTGTCTGTGTGGGTTTTATATATATATATATATATATATATATATATATTAGGGCTGTCAAAATTAACGGGTTAACGCGGATTAATCCATCATCATGATTAATCTGATTAAAATTTTTAACGCAATTAACCCATCTGCAGTGCAGAATGACAAAATCTCTGAAATGTCTCTGTCAACCCATTTCGGGCAGTTTTGGTGCGTTCCATTTGCCCTGGGAACTCGTATTCAGAGTCGGATTCCGAGTTTTGAAGCCGGAAGTGACGACATGCGTGCTCCCGTTTCTCGGAGATCCAAGAAATATCTCGGAGCAGCACAGAGGATCCCGACTCCTGAGTTTAGAATCCAAGATGATATTTAATCGTGATTAATCAAAATTAATCCACAGCAGCCCTGTGATTAATCTGATTTAAAAATTTAATTGTTTGACAGCACTAACAATACAAGAAATTGAGTTCCCCACAACATCATATATATATATATATATGATGTTGTGGGGAACTCAATTTCATAAAAATCAGTGATTGCAATTAAAAAACTAAAAATGCCAAAAGTCTTGTATTTTGTTTGGTTACTTATTGTTAAGGTTAGGGCTGGGTAGGGGTTCAGGTTGTCATTGTTGGGATTACGGTTTTGCCCATAGAAATGAACGGATAGGCATTGACAGAAGTCAACAAATTTAATTATAATTTGCAAGATTCAAATTGTAGCCTTTACGTTACATGTAAATGCAAGCATCCTTGGAACACATTATCTCCAGCAGAGCCCCAAAGCCGTTCACTGACTACAGCTATTTTATATACTTTAATTTACTTATTTATTTACTTTAATTTACTTTCATCATATAAAGGATGATGAAATCCTGATTACTGAGAAAATCTGCACACTGTGATTATCTAGATATGCGAAGGAGAAGCAATTCAATGTGTAAGAAGACAAGTTTTAAAATCTGCCCTAAACTTAAGTTGAAGTCATTTAAACCGACATAATAATTCATGTGATGCTTGTGTACTTTTAGTGCCATTTTGAGCAATTCCTAAGCAAAATTTAAAAAAAAAAATAGCACTAATCATATGTCGGTATAGATTGTCTTTGAAAATGATACCATTGCATTTCACGTGTTTGTTACCGTGGGATTAAGAACCCGTGATCTGGCCTAGTTTAAAGACTCTGATAACTTTTCATAATGGTTTAGTTGAAATGACGCAAGGAGAAGCTTTTGGCAAGATGGGGAACCGTTATGGAGGTGCCAAGTGAAATACTATGGAGATCTTGTTGACTGATGACAGTTGCACTATCAAGGGCAATCCAGTTGGGTGATAATATAGTAACATGATGTGCCATGAAATGGATAAAACATGCACACCTTATTTACACATTCATTCCTGAAAGAATTTAAAGATAAAATATTTAACCTTACTGGTCATAGTATTTATTATGTACATTTGTTTTATAGCATACTCACATAATATTGATTTATTCTGATTCATAATCATTCATACTTTGGATATTGTCATTAATACCTACATGCACAGTTTGTGAAATGAAATATCATTGACCTATTTCAGGTAGCCATTTTCTGATGTTTATATAATAAACATATAGTAAGAGAAATCTGGTCTCTGGGGTTTTGACATTCATTACATCCATGCTGTACTTTTTCCAACACACAAAGAGTGCTTTGGTTCACGTTTTTTAGGACAAGCTCTCATGGGTTTATTAAATTAGCTCATCCTAATAATAAGCGCAGAGAATGATTCTGACAAGCCCATTATTCTCATCAGAGTATTCCAGACCTAAATTCAGCTGCCCGTTAGTTATGTATATAGTGCCCGCTTGTCAGTCAAAGAGACATTTGTGAAGGCTGACCTTCAGATGTGAGCTCTTATGTACACACTTGTGTTTGTAAAAATGATTTGTGCAATGAAGCTGCATTACGTATTATAATGACAATTTGTTGCACATGTATTTCAGCTGTTAATGGCATAATAGACATGAGCAAGAGGTAAAAATGGTGGAACAGAGAGAAGAAGCAAGGTTTCATAAAAACAAAAAAAAAATCCAATATGGATAAATAGTTAGCTACAACCGGTGTAACGGTTCTGAAACTGTTAATGCAATGCAAACATGCAAACGTTCACTCATGTCGCAGTTCTGATCTCTTCCTGCTTCTGAAAATCACAAAATCATTATTATATTTAAAGTTAGGGCAAGCTTTATATTTTGTAAATATTACACGTTACACCTATTTTGTTGTCTTCCATCTGCGTGTGTCATGTGACTGTTTTGGTTCAATAATGATCGAGTGATCACGCAAGCGTGTTCTGCTTGACCCTCCCCTGTGTTCTCTCTTCTCCTTACTCTACCCCAGAGCAGTCTCAGTGAGACACCCGCATTAAATGGACTCATACAAGATTAACTCTCCCCTTTTTTCCATCTGTAGCAATTGGTTCCTCCATCTTTAATTTCTCCCTAGACCTTCACATCCAAGCAATGCTCCACTGTAGCTTTAATTTACGGGTCAATGATAATGTTCTGTAGCATCCATCCAATTGGGACCAATATTCTATTTTTACTCAGCAGCTTAGTGTAATGTTCCTGAGTGTACTGTTAATGAGCTGTACAGTGTCCATTCAATCAGTCATATATTAATTTATACTTAGGTCAGCATCAAAGCACAATAGTTTATAGTAACAGGTCAGTGCTAGGTCTGTATTCCATGTGTTTTACCTCAGTGTGTTTATATTGACTCATCTTCCCCTTTCTTTCTCTCGCCCTGTAGTATGTTGCAGTAGTCTCCCTGTGTTTCATCCTTCTCTCCATTGCAACATTCTGTATGGAGACATGTGAGGTCTTCAACGTCGTCCTCCCGATTGTCAAAAACGTGACCGTGGGCAATGTCACTCAGGAGAAAACCACCTATGAGATTGAACCTGTCGGCTGGCTCGTCTACGTGGAAGGAATGTGTGTCATCTGGTTCACCATCGAAGCCTCAGTGAGAGTGATCTTCTGTCCCAGCAAAGTCGAGTACTTCAAGTCCTTCCTTAACAATATTGACTTTGTCTCCATCGTGCCCTTCTACCTGGAGCTAGCATTAGCCGGCGTAGAGAACAAAGTAGCTACGGACATTCTGGGCGTTCTGCGAGTTATGCGCTTTGTCAGAATCCTGAGAGTCTTCAAGCTGACCCGTCACTTCATAGGCCTCCGAGTACTGATCCAAACTCTCAGATCCAGCATCAGTGAGTTCTTTCTGCTCGTCATCTTCTTGGCCTTAGGGGTGCTCATCTTTGCCACCTTGATTTACTATGCTGAGAGAGTTGGCGCTGCTCCAGATGATTACACTGGAAGTGCTCACACAACCTTCACAAACATTCCAATTGGGTTCTGGTGGGCTGTGGTGACCATGACCACATTAGGCTATGGAGACATGTGGCCAGTCACGTGGAGTGGCAAGCTGGTGGGAGCAATGTGTGCATTGACTGGTGTGTTGACCATCGCCATGCCAGTGCCCGTCATCGTAAACAATTTTGGGCTGTATTATTCCCTGGCTATGGCCAAACAGAAGCTGCCCAAGAAGAAGTACAAGCATACTCCCAGGGCCCCCATGCCAGGGTCACCAGGGTACTGTAAAACAGACGCCCTTGCTATAGCCTCTGCCTCTCCAGAAGGAATCCTGGGAAACCTGGGTGGGATAGCCGAATCAGGAGGAGGCTGTCCCCTAGCACAAGAGGAGGTTATTGAAGTCAACAGAGGTGAGTCACTAATAATGCTTCCTTTGTATACTGAAAACATATTAGTTACTAAATTTTGAGCTGAAAAATCAGAACACCTTCAGGAATTAAAGGTGCTATGTATTTGGTTTGTTTTTGTTGGAAATGTAAAATATTTTGCACCTGTTTATCATAATTCACAAGGCTTCTGTGAGCCATCTGTTTCTGAAATCAACATAGTAAAAAACGATCGAATACGAAATACAGTTGCAATATTTTAATCTTCTTTATTGCAATCTTTCATCACAGGGAGAACTGCAGGAATTCCCTGAGAGCAGTCCTTGACTAGTTGTAAAGGTTAACAGCTGTAGATTGTGTACTGATATTTGACATTCATTTGATGTGCACAGTGATTTGATGTATTTTTGTAAAGGTCCAGTTTGTATTAGGTTTGCCACTTCAGCACTCAGATCTAACAGTTCTACTCTTAAAACATTTCAGCAGCTTTTAGTCAGAGCCTACTTTTTCAATTTCCTTTTATTAAAACAAAGGGAACTTAAAAGAGACAGACTTCCGGTGAATTTTAGTACAATAAATGCTCAGTTAACACCACTTATGTGAGAAAACAATAAATATTAGAAAAATCTGTGTTCATTATATGAAATCAAAGTTGGTTGTGCTCTTCTCTGTATTTGATTTCTTTTTAAAAGAACACAATTCTGATTTTGCAGGACAAATATTATTAGAAAATAAACAGGAACATGAACCTGAAAAACAAACAATCAATTGAAGCCTGATAGAGGATCAGATTTGTCTATTACCATAGTGTGAAAAACACACTGAACAAAACAAATTTTCAAAGTATGGTGTAGCATAGATGGACAAGGGTAAACGGACAATAGGCATATATTCATGTCTGAAAAATGCTTTGTATATGTACAGTATATGTGCACTATACCTTACTAAATTGTGTGTGACACATTCACAAAATTAATTGAAAATATACTTCAGGTGCTTCCATTTGCTTTCGATATGCTTATACTTTTACAGTATTGTTCACTATTTTGCAATGTACACTACCAGTCAAAAGTTTTTTCACACCACAGGTTTCTACCACTTTTCCATTTATTTCATAGACTGCAGATTTTTTATTCTTATTAAGCATTGGAAACTATAGTCAAATATGTGTCAAAATATGTGTCAAATAAAACAATTTTCCTTTATAATATGGAAAGAGTATGTAACAGTGCATGTCTGACATCCTATTAGTTGGTTGTGTGGTGATAGCATAGTCAAATTCTAGAATGTCCTTTAACTTTAAATGCACTAGTTAACTATTTCATCCCATGAAACAGCAGTATTTAATGTCCCTTGTAGAAAGAATGTCTCGCATTTTCTCTGCTTTTATAACTGCTAGAGGAGGTTACTTTGATGAATCAAAGATATAACATTTTCTTGCTAATAAAGGTACTCTTATGGTAAACATACTGTAAACTTATTTATTTCCAAAGAATATTAAGTGTATTTTGAGTAAATGTTAAGTGAGTAACATGCAAATGTAGAAAATCTCAGTGTGTGCAAAAACTTTTGACTGGTAGTGTAAGTTGATTTAAATTGTGCCCTCTACAATCGATTAAAAAATTTTAAAATAGCATGTTGTAAAGCTATACCAAAAACTGGTTTAACTATGTACAAATTATTACTGGTATAAAGAAAGAACCAGTGATTGAGACAACCTAACATGACAAAATTGAAGTAGAAGAGAAGAGAAGTTTAGGCCAATTAGGACTCTCCCATTGGCTCTGTGATCTTTAAGGGTGTCACTTATTTCAAGGTGTCTGGGAGCTGGCATTCCTTTCTGACTCCTGAGTCTTCCAGGGGATTTGGCCTGTCTGCAGTTAAGCCTCATGAGATCTCTAACTGCTGATATCTGCTCACACCAACAAAAATGTTTTGCTTTGTGACCACTCCTGATTTTTATCCGTATCAGACACATCTTCTTACAGGGCATGAAAGTACCTCATCAATTAGAATGATACATCAATTAAAAATAATATGTCAACATGAATAACAGTGTCTGGGTATATTGTTAAAACACTTAATTGTTAAATAGCTTCCATTTTATTGTAATTATTTTGCAAGTTAAAAATATATATGAAATTGTTGGGTAATTGTTAAGATATATCAGCGCTTTTCTGTAGTAGCTAACTTGTTAGGCAATTGCTTCGGTTCTGTTATATCTGGCTTCCAATTCAGACATGAAGTGTATTTAAATAATCTTCATTGGGTGTAATGCAAGAGATGATTTAAAATTGCTATTCATATTAAACTTTTCCCAGTTGAATAGAAAAAAAACATGCTCTGATTATTTATGATTATTGTTTAATGTTTATTTTTTTAATGATTTGTCTCCATACTTATGTCTCCTGTTATCACAGTCTTGGAGTTAGGCAACCAGGCATTTCACTACACGTTGTACTGGGTTTAATTGTGTATGTGACAAATAAAACATTGTTTGATTGATAGATTGGTTGAATTAACTTTGAAAATACATGACAACAAATCTTCAGTTCAAAAAAGTTAAATACTAATAAAATCCTGACTATATTTTTTTTTCAGAAGTCAACTCCAATGGGTGATGAGGAAAGAGCAATGGATCCATTTTGTTTATAGCTAGCTTCAAAAGCTTCAATCAACAGCATTGTGAGGGGCTCAGTTTTTCCTCAAGAGCTTTAGCAAGACTATTGTTGAGTTTGATTGCTACCTAACAATGTGGCTGGCAAGGATGACAGCTTTTAATTCATATTTCACACATTTGGTACATTCTGCCATGCAGAGGCAAAACAGTAACTGCTTATTTTATCAAAAGGGGTCTCTTGGGCTCTGTTTTATCTTGTTTGGTTATGCTTGATTTTGAATACACTGTCATTTAGCTAGTTACTACACACACGGGTGTTACCATAGTCACTGTGTTTTGCCTGTTAGGGCAGTGTTGTCTGCTGTAAATTTCTTAATTTGATCACAAAAAATGGTTCTTTGCACACATTAATTTTAATTTAAGGAGCTTTATGATTAACTTTGTGGATTAACAGACGCACAAAAACACATGCAAGCACATTGTTAAATATATTGTCATATCTTTGTGGGGACTCTCCATTAAACCCTCCTTACCCAGGCGTAAAATGTAACCGTAAACAACCAAACAAAATACTAGACATTTGTCTATTTCATTTTTGATTACATTCATGTAATTTTATAAAATTGAGGTTACCCTTGTGGAGACTGGAAAAATGTCCCCACAGTATAAAAGAAACCCACACACACACACTCACGCACACACACGACGTAGGTATTTCAAAGATTGTTGGTGTGAATGTCGCTGTTGTCTTACATTGCTAGATGAAATTAGGTAATGACCTCAAAATAATTGTCTTCATTTGACCCCTATTAGAGCAGATAAAAATAGTCTACTTTTTTGTGAATGCATTATGAAATTCTTCCTGCGGAGGACTGGCATCCTGTCTAGTCTTATGCCCCACACTGCCTGGGCTAGACGTCAGGTGCCCCTGAGCCCCTCTACTGGAAATAGGAGTGGAAGGTGCATGAATAGATGGATTAGGAGATTCTGGGACATCATATCATATATCACCAGTTGGTGAAGTTTCCTTCAGCTGGGTATTCTGGGAAAAGTGGGCTAAACATTTTATTCGGGTCTCAACTTGTCTCCAGCTTGGAACCAAGCCAAGCCTGTAGATCACATCAGAAGAGTCTGCACTTTTTAGTACTTTACTTCAAACATGCAGTTTAACCATGCAGTGTAGAATGATTTTAAATGACATGCACTTTATTTATGATAAATTGTATTATACTTACGATGTAAAAGGTACTCAACACTTTACTATGCAAATGTGAAATTATTATTTTAAACATAAATATAAACTATATATGTAAACATCTCTTTCACAAAGTGGTCCTTGTCAGTTGTATTGTGTCCTGAAGGAGAAAGATGCTCATTGGCTCCAAGAGGGCCGGTCCCTGCAGAGCAGCCAATAGGCTGATGAGGATAGGTTGGAGTGGAGGCCTTGACCATGCTAAGGTGACTAGTACAGCTGACATGTTAGATGAGAACACTCCTGGGAGCAGGCCCTGCTATAGCAACAGGGTGTCCCTAGCAACCCAGACTGGAAAAGTCTTCTCCATATGATCTGAGGCCTCTTGGGCCTGCTGGTGATCCATCTCTTCCCTGAGACAAACCATGATCTCACAGTCTAGCCCGAACTAGCCTGTGATGGCAGATGCGAGTTGTGAGTTTTTTGGCACTATAGTGATTAAAGCATATACAACAATTAAAGTCTTCACTTTAGCGCTGAAGTCAATGCTTCTAGTTAGCTTGCATTAAGTCTGTTAAATGGTATACTTACCACTAGGTATCCAATATTAGGACTATTCAACATTATTCACCTGGAAACAAGATTTATCAATCTGGAAAATATTATTCATTTGTTTTACTGCTGTCGAAGTGTCAGCAAGTTATATGCGGAGCCGGATGTTTATGATGTAGTGACGAAAATTGCTTCTATGGGTCCATTTTAAGTAACCATTTATTCAATTAGAGATGACAGATCTACTTATCCAATCAACAGTCTTTTAACTATTTTTAGCTTTAGATTTATTGTAGCAAGTGTAAGAGGCCGTGAGGTTTTCACAATGTTTTTGCTATTTTAGTTGCTTGTTTAGTCAAAACATTTTTCTGCTTCCACAGACATTGTTACTGAATTGCACTGATCAGTTTTTAAACACATAACTTGGAATGCAACCTTTTATGAAAATATGTTCATGCAATCAATGTGAAATATGCTTTTCAGAAGTAAAGTTTTTATAGTTGTTCATCACAAGCTGTTACTAAAATAATACTGGAAGAATTTCCCTGTCATCAAAATTTGACACTGGGGGAATAAAAATCTGTTGTAATATAAATACCACCTCCTGCTATTTTCTTACTGTCAAATAAATACATACATTGCATAAATAAATAAATAAATAAATATTCTTTGTGGATTTGAAACAGTAATAATAATTTGGTGAGCAATGTTGTAAATGAATGAAAACTACAGCTACAAACTACCTGTGTGACAGATTGTTGACGTCTTCTCCATCTCTGATCAGTTTGGAAACACTGTATTTATGATGGATGAAAAGGCAACAGTAGGTCTCTGGCCATGAACAGCTTAGCAAACTTCTAAAGTGTAACCATTTAGCATGTACTTTCTCCTTCCGGTGATCAGTTAGCTTTGATAATTAGCAGGTTAGTGGACCCCTGCCCACCTCAGCCAAACCTCGGGGTTTCTACTGCGTGACCACCTGCCTTGTGCCATCACTAAGTGCTGAACTCAGGCCATCTTATAACATAATTCCCCTCAGTTGGCTGAAGAAGGTCACAATCTCCAGCTCACATTTGGTAAATGACAGTCTGAGCTCTACACCTGGAATGGATATATGGGTTCATTATAGTTTCAAAGTCTCACAGAGACACATCTTACTCTTATGTTATTTTTATGCAGGGAAATTAAACACTATCCCAAATTATAAGGAAGCATCTGGGGGAAAAAAACTTAGACTTACCCAATATTAGACCTTCCTATGTGTATCAGTGACTGTAACTTACTATTGTTGCCAAAAAAGTACAGCAGTATTCTTTCTAATAGACTGACTCCTATTTACTCTCAAAGTGTCAGTGCTGGTCAACCCTCTATGTGAGTCTACTAGGGCACCATCTCCCTTAGGGGCACCAACTTAGCTGGGGGGGAGGGGGGGAGACCCCGGTGGTGCTCCTAGGGCTCCACATGGGCTTTGGCTGGCACCGCTGATGACTCCAGTGCACTTTCTCTCTGTGCCTTCCCCTTCTTGACCTCTTATGACGTACTAATCGTTTCCCCTGCTTCCTCTTCTCTCATCCTCCATCTATCTGTGTATCCATCGTGTGTCCCAACCGCTTCTCTCTCACCAAGACTCCAAACAGAATGGAGATGCTGCCAACGCAGCCCAGGCTAATAAAGAATGCCCAAACAATGCGCAGGAGGACAGCCCAGTAGGGGGCGGGGCCGACCGCGAACGCTGCCCGCATGACCGTGCCTGCTTCCTCCTCAGCAGTGGGGAATCCCGAGCCACCGATGGAAACATGAGGAAAGGTAGGATTGTGGGCCCTAACCCAGCTGTGTGCATGCTCGTGCCACACATGCGGTGCGTAGCATCGCAACATACAAGCAGGTTGTGTCCACGATGCCCTTACACCACTAATAAACACCCACATTTGTTTACAGACACACATGATTATGGTGATGCAGAAACATGGCCCATTGGGCAGTAACTAGTTACATGTAACAGCGTTACGTAATTAAATTGCAAGAATAAATAGAACTGTAACTTATTACAGTTACTGAGAAAAAATATGTAACTAAATTAGCTTTTCATCAAAAGGAGTTACATCTGAATATATTCTTTTTGATTATATATATATAATATAACATTCATTTTGTTGCTTTACATCTTTTTGCCATAGAGAAATGCTTTTTGGGCATATTTCCAGACAACGTGAGCCAGCAAATACTTGGGACTTTTCAGCTTTATTGCCCAGCTTAAAGCATTTGTTAGAAAAGTAATCAAAATGTACTCAAATGTAATAAGTTAGGTTGCTTTGATAACAAAATATCAAAATAGTTACATTGCATATTACATTTTTAACAGGATAACTAGTAATCTGCCACCTATTACATTTTAAAAGTAACTATTCCAGCACTGCCCATTGGATAGGCTTTTAAAAAGATGCACATAAACAGGCATCTCTTCCCCTTTGCCATTCCATTGCTCCAAATTCCATCCATATTTTTTCTATGTCACTCATTTTGATAGTAGCTCCTCAGTATGTCAGTATTTCCATTATTCCCATGTATTTTGTATATAACAGATTGTACTGATTGGGACAGCTGAATAAAATCCATTTAGAATCTAATATATGTGGTTCTTGCTTGTCCATTAATTAATAAGTTAATAATTCATTATGGCTTGACAATGTCCAGAAAATGTCCAGGAGTGGATAACACCTCATAAGGAAATGTGATTTAAAAGTTTGCAGTGTTGTCAAAGGACCAGCTCAATCCAGCAAACACTGAAGATTCTTCTGGCTAAGATTTTTGATAATATTCCTTTTGTATTTAATTCCACAGTCATTAAAGGTGGCCATCTCTGAACCTGTCACAAGTTTGCCTGGGTCTATGCACGTCATAAAAGATAATCAGCTTTTCCATGAGCAAATTATTAAGAGCAAGGCCAAGTTAGTTCCTGGGCCATGTTTTATACAATATGTAGTTCTGTATTTCTTAGAAAATAGAATGCATTTATATGCAACATTTGTGTAGAAAAAAGTAAAAAGTCAATGCATACTGCAAAAGTGAGAATAATATTATGTGAATGCATCATTATTTTTTTTACTATTATCTAATAATGTATAAAGAGTGTAAGTACTAATAATATGCTAAAAAAATGTTAACAACAACAATGATAATCATATTAATGCTGCCAATTTTTTTGTAATTTGAATTATCACTAGACCCAGATTTAAAATCCCAAAAAGAGAAGGCATTACACTCACTTAGATTGCCCCCAGAGTGAAACATTCTGTTGAAAATTGGTCAGAATTTTATAAATGATAGATAGATAGATAGATAGATAGATATCTCTCTGGCATGTATTTATACATTCCTTTATTGCTCACCTTTCTCTTCTACTTTTGTTCCCCTACCATCACTTGCTTCTTCATCATCACTGTTTCCTCATCCCTGCCTGCCTACCCAATATGTGTCTCTCTGACTTTATTGGATGGTCACACCCCATCGTTTGCTTCTTTGTACCTCTTTTTTTTTTACCTCCCTCGCTGTTATCTCACCTTCTCTCACCCACCACTACCGCCACACCTGGTACTTTCCAAAAACAAACCCAATTCCCTCTTCCAACCCCAACGCTCCCCCCAATAAATCCTCAGTCGCTGGTCGTGACCCTGGCCATCCTGTGGGTGAGGAATGGTTCGAGCTGGAGGATCCTCCATTACCACAGGACCTCAATGCTAAGTCAGCCTCACGCTGGACCAAATGATAGTTATAAAGGTAAAAACACAATAACACTTGACTCTCGTTTACCTACATTCTAAGACATGAGATATACATTTTTAATGCATCATAATCATTTGTGCTTGATGCTTTCTGTATTCATATTTACTATGGGTTGTACACTGAACATATGAGACCAATTTCACAACAAATAAACACAATCCTTATGAAATAAAATGACCAACAATAATTAAAAGTGCATGTTTATTTTGCCTATTAAATCATAACGGAATATGTGTGAGTATGTGTATGTGAATTACTGAACAGATTTTTTTGAGTTTAATGGGTTTAATTGGAATGACAAATAATCCTACCAACCTACACTGATTACACAGCTTATTTAAGTCCTCCAACTTTCTCTATGTTCTACCTCTGCTGCCTTTTGAGATATCCAAATATTTATTTTTATAGAAATAGCTGAAACAACAGTATTACTGCATGGAATCTTGCAGCCTGATGACAGATTAGTAATAACCCAGAGCAGAAGCCTTTCCTGGTTTCAGAATAAAAGAATGTTTTTAAACTATAAACAATTTCAACAATCTTTTTACAACCAGATTTCTGTTATTTGGACCCATGATATTGTATATACAGTATTGATTATTAAATGTGGATATGGATCACGGCTAGAATTAAACAATACAGGAACGCTTTGCGTATGACACCCTGCTGTGCAGATCTGAAGAGTGTCTGTGCTGTCCAGTTGAATGTCGTGGGGCTGTTGACTTATCCACACTACTACCACTGGGTCTTATCTTCTCCCATGTGCTTTGTCTTCTTGTCTTCCTTCTCACGTTGTGTCATATCACACGTTTGTGTGCTGGCTATTGTCGCAAAGGACACTGTATCCCCATTTCCTTATTCAGTTTGTGCCTTTTATTATTTATCCTGCCCTGTGTTTATTTTTTGTTGTTCTCCCTCTTCAGTGACATTTGCACTGGTAAAGTAACATCCCCTTTCTTATTTGCTGTGACTGCGTGTTTCAATTGTGAATTCCAGTATTTCATACAGGAAGTGACATTTGCCTACTTGTTGGATGACTAAAACAGGTTTTGGACTTATATCAAATGGTTGTTTTGTACAATCCTTTCATTTAAATGGGGCGATATGTTTTTTCCAGCTTAAACGAATTTGTTATCTTTCCCAGGGTTAAAAGTCACTGATCTTGATGCAGCTTGTTTTTTTTTTTTTTCTTAAATAAATTAGCCTACAATGCCAAGGTCCCTAGAATAGTACTTCATAATGAAAGATCTCCCTGAAAGCACACTGCTGTTGCTGTCAGTCCTCCGTGTGGTTTATCCGCAGCACTGTGCACCATAGGGTCTGCATCCAGCTCCCCAGGCATGTTAATCAGTGCTGCTGAAGTGCGGCCAGGAGGCTGGCAGTATGGCGCCCCCTGCTGCTCACGTTATGGCGGGGCTGCTAAATGTGACTTAAAGCTCCGGAGCTAAATGAAAGACCAAGCAGGCAGCTGCCTGAGAGGTGGCTTGCATGGGTGGTGCCTTTGTGAATTATTATTTACGGAGCCTTTCATTGTGTGCTGTAGTCTGTATTGTAAATAAAGCATCCAGCTGAGCAGCAGGTGCTCCATTGCCATAGTGCTAAATGAACATTTAAGCAATTGTCCAAGGCACCCTTGGCAACTGAATCACTTCCTGACTCTGACTAAAACACCGACTTGCAGACGACTCTGATGGGCTGACTCTGCAGCTTGGAGGTGAGTGATTGGTGTTGGCAGACCTCAAGTCAGAAGCTGAAGCTTTTTGGGTGCGTCCATGACGATCCCCCCAAACTGTGTCCCACAAGCCGTCTCCTGCATTAGTAAAATAAAGTAAGATACACTTCCAAATCCAGCCACAGGTTAACACTGGGCTCTATTCTAAACTTCAGTCTTTTGATGACTAGAAGTGTAACGGCAGTAGCTGATCCTCTCACATATTGACTCCAGTGGAAATCTTCCTGATCTCCAGCAGCAACCTGTGCTGATATTTCTGTATATTATTAACTGATACTAACTAGAAACCTTTTTCCCAAGTTGCTAACTTTAATCGCTTATATAAAAATACATAAAATGACATCTTGAATCTTAAGACTGCAGTGAAAATGGCACGTGTACGAAAGGTCTTGTTGACATGGCAGTCTTTTCAGCTTTTAGTTTTAAAGCGGAACTTTCTCACCTTTCTTAATTATTCAATGTCGCTATTGTTTTTTTAATAATATGTGTTGATTTGAGGGTGGTGTGGTGATGCAGTGATTAGCATCGTTGCTTCACGCTTGTGGGACCTGGGTTGAGTTTCTGCCCTGGCTCTACGTTTGTGGAGTTTGCATGTTCTCTCTGTTTCATCGTGGGGTTTCCTCCAGGTTCTCTGGTTTCCCTCCTCAGCCGAAAAAACATGCTGAGGATAATTGTAGTTGCCAAATTGCCTGTGGGTGTGAATGATGTGTATATGCGCCCTGCAATGAGTTGGTGCCCCATCCTGGGTTATTCCCTGCCTTGTGCCTGTAGATTCTGGAATGGGCTGCAGACCCTGAAGAGCACAAGTGGGTAGAGAAAATGGATGGATGGATGGTGTTTGTTGGTATGCCAGTTGAGTCACTTTTTATTTGACTCTGGCTCTTTGACCTCCGCTGATGTTACACAAAATGTGTCAGTTAACACAGGTCAAGAGGTCATAGAATTGTGTATCAGTTTATTGTTGGATATGTATTACTATATATTTTCTACTGTGATCTATATGTGTTCTGGTTTGCTCTCTCTCTCTCTCTCTCTCTCAAATATGCCTGATGCCATCAGAATATGTTCTATGTTCCCACTGCTTCCTTGTACCTGTTCTTTTTACTTTCTCACCCCATCTAAGTGTTGTTCCCACCTGTGTATGAAGCTGTCAGCTGCTTTATATTCCCCAGTGTTTTTACTTTCCTCTTCAACCTCTCCCACAAAAAAGCATTTCTCAGTTCTCATATAATTCTACCCTGTTTACCCATTTTTTCTCTTTTTTATCCACTCTTTCCCAGAAAACACCGGA